GGCTGGTGTGTGACTTCAGGGCCTTAAATGCAGTGTCAGAACCAGTAGCCTTCCCTATGCCCAGGATTGACGACATTTTGACAAGGGTGCGGAAGGGAAAGATTTTCACAAAGCTGGACCTAAGGGGCGTACAACCTGGTACGAATAAGGAAGGGGGATGAATGGAAAACCACTATGTTCACCCCTTTAGGGGCATTTGAATATTTGGTTATGCCCTTCGGCCTACAAGCAGGCTCCGCAACATTTCAATCGTTTATGAACCACGTCCTGGGGCCTTTGCTTTACAAGAATTGTGTGGCCTTTTTAGACGACGTGTTGGTGTATTCTGAGAATGAGGAGCAGCATGTGAGAGACGTCAGAGAAGTGTTGAGCAGGCTGCAAGCCAACCAGCTGTGGGTGAAACTGGAGAAGTGTCAGTTTCATACCAAGGAGGTGGAATTCCTGGGGTATCGCCTGTCAGACAAGGGATTGGCCATGGATCCCGGCAAGGTCCAGGCGGTGCTGGAATGGAAAACACCCAAAACAAAGAAGGATGTGCAGAGGTTCCTAGGATTTGGGAACTTCTATCGTAAGTTCATCCGAAACTTTGCCCACCTGACGGCGCCCATTACGGACTGTCTCAGCAGTAAGAAGAAGTTCGTGTGGACTGAGGAGGCGGAGCGAGCATTTGAGGAACTAAAAGGGCCTTCGCCTCGGAACAACAACTCCTGCATGTGGATTTACAAAAACCGATGAGAGTGGAAACTGACGCATCAGACAGAGCGATTGGGGCGGTGCTTCTGCAGCCAGGCAAGAAGGGGTCAGAGTGGAGACCGTGTGCCTTTTTTCGCGAAAGCTGAACAAATCCGAGAGGAACTACACGGTGTATGACCGAGAACTACTAGCCATTCATGAGGCGTTCCGGAGATGGAGGCACCTGCTAGTTGGCGCACAACATAAGGTGCAAGTGTGCACTGACCACAAGAACCTAGAGTATTGGAGGACGGCACGAGTGCTCAACCAACGGCAAGTGAGATGGGCCCAGGAGTTCTCCAAATTTAACTTTGAGATTAGTTACGTGCCAGGCCCAGAGAACATTAGGGCGGACGCTCTCTCACGCAAACCTGAATATTTGGAGGAGGGGCACCCGAAGAGAGACATGTCATTCCAGAGGACCGCTGGGTGTGTGGGGCGGCATTGGTGGGACAAAGAGAACTGGTAGAGGAAACAGAGAATGATGAATACGCCCAGAATAAGCTCAGAGGTCTTAGGGGTGATGGAGAGGAACCAGGGGTTTCGAGGAAAGAAATGGAGCTTTGTATTACAAAGGGGCACTGTATATCCCTGAAGGAGAGTTAAGGGGGAGGGTACTCAAGCAGTTGCACGACAGCCCTACGGCGGGGCATTTTGGACAACACAAAACCATGTGGTTGGTCACCAGGGAATTTTGGTGGCCTAAGGTGAGGGAGATGTACGTGAGTATGTAAGAGGGTGCGAGCAATGCCAGCGAGCCAAAGGGGAAAGGCGGGCGCCGGCGGGGCTATTAGGAACCCTTACCAACCCCAGAACGACCTTGGGAGGCAGTGTCGATAGATTTTATGACTGATCTGCCGAAGTCCAAAGGAAGAACAGCCATCATGGTGGTGGTAGACCTACTAACAAAGATGTGCCACTTTGTAGCTTGCTCGCATGCAGTCACGGCGGAAGAGACAGCGAAGTTATTTGTAGAAAACATTTTTAGGTTGCACGGGGTGCCATTGAGGGTGGTCTCAGACCGAGGAAAACAATTTACTTCCAGGTTCTGGAGGAAGCTCATGAGCTTACTGCAGGTGGAGGTCAATTTTTCGACTGCCCGGCACCCTGAAACCAACGGGCAGGCGGAAAGAGCAACCGGTGTCCTCCAGCAATACCTGAGGTGTTATGTCAATGACAGAGAGAATGACTGGGTAGAAAAGTTGGCGCTGGCGGAATTTGCCTACAACAATGCCGAGAATGTGTCCACAGGGATGAGCCCCTTCTTGGCTAATTATGGGTGTCATCCCAGGGCTTTCCCAGGGAGAGATGGAGCGTCCCGGCAGCCGGAGCATTTTGTGGAAGAAATGGAAGCAATCCATCGTCAGCTCCAACTCAACTTAGAAAGGGCGAAGGAAGAATACAAGAGGCAGGCAGACAAGAACCGAAGGGAAGGTGAAACCATAAGGGTGGGAGATAGGGTGTGGCTGTCAACCCAAGGGTTGCCGTTCAAAGGAGGTTGTAAGAAATTAAGACCCAGGAGGTTGGGTCCCTTTGAGGTCATTCAACAGGTCAACCCAGTGGCTTTCAGGCTCCGGTTACCCAACCACATGAAACTGCACCCAGTATTTCACAGGTCGTTACTGTCACCGTACGAAGGGGGACGAGAAGGGCTGGCCACTCGGGGACCGGTCGTAGAAGAAAGAGAATGCAGCAGCCATGTGGCAGAAATCCTCGACGCCAGGTGGAAGGGGGATCAGGTGGAGTATTTGGTAGCGTGGGAAGGAGAACCGAGTCAGAAAACACTTGGGTAATGGCTGAAGATATCAATGACGAGGTATTGATAGAAACGTTCCATCAAAGGTTCCCAAGGAAACCTCAGCCTGTGGAGAGGTTCCGGAGGGAATACTTTGGAACCACTGATGAAGGGGAGGAGTTGGAAGGATTCCCGGACTCGGAAGGGGAAGGGGAGATGGACTCTGAGGAGGAGGTGTACTTCGAGACCAGGAACCGCAACAGGTTGAGAGAAGTGTTCGAGACATCGGAAGATGAAGGAAGTTCATTCCGGGGTTTTGCCTCCTCACCGCCCGTAGAGGAGGGCGAGAAGGGGTGAAGGGGGCCCTGGAGGGGAGGTGGATGTCAGGGAACTGCCATCGGACGGAAGGGAGGTGAAAGGGCTCACACAGGTTGGGAGAGACGCAGCAGCTGAAGAGGGAACCGGAAGGGAGGTGAAAGGGCTCACACAGGTTGGGAGAGACGCAGCAGCTGAAGAGGGAACCGGAAGGGAGGTGAAAGGGCTCACACAGGTTGGGAGAGACGCAGCAGCTGAAGAGGGACCAGCAGGGGGAGAGGAGCTGAGCTGGAGGGATGGCTCAGAGACACTTCCAGCGAAAACAGTGGGGAGGTTTCAGGACCTCCTGTAAGAACACCCACTCCTCGCCGGAAACTGTCACGCAGAGATTCCAGAAGACGTGTTTCCGTTAAGGAGCTTTTATGTTGGAAGCGATTACGAAAGCAACCACTGTCGGAATCT